ACACACAGACATGGCTAACATGACACAGACACAGTTAACACACACAGACATGGCTAACGTGACACAGACACAGTTAACACACACAGACATGGCTAGCGTGACACAGACATGGTTCTTAACACACACACACACACACACACACACACACACACACACACACGCACATAGGCACAGGAACACAGGAACAGCACCTGGTTAGGAAATATGTGAACATGAGAATCAGTCCCCTGCCCTGGCACGTGAAGGGGGGAGACACCACCTAGAGGGGTTCCCTCCCCCTTTCCAGGCACTATGTACAGGGTGTCTATGGGTCTCACATGGCAACTTAGGGACAGGGTTCTGGTCTCTGCTTGCCCACTGGGTGGTCACAGAGCTTCTGGAAGATGCAGAACCCTCAATTGCATCCCAGGAAGAAAAACAGCCACCTTTCTCTGTGGGGTTCATGGTCACGACATCAAGAGTACTGGACATGGTCTGGTACCTGGATTTGGGGACACTGTGGGCAGGGACCTGAGATGCTGTGGGCTGTGGGCTTTGGCCACAACTGGGTGGAAGGTGCTGGAAGAAGTGAAATCATCTCTGGGGTATCATAAATTAGGAGGGACATGGTGTGGGGACCACAGAGGTCCAGGCAGCCATTCTCAGTTAGAAACGCCTCCCCTGCCCATAAGAACACACACACACAAATGTCCTGGAAGTCCAGTTTAATCTCAGCTTCTAGATATTTCCATGCAAAGTGGTGATGACCAATTCATTGAAGCTAAGTCACTTTGGCTAAGGCTGTATGTCAAATCCCAGGACAGAATTCATCATCCATGAACGGGGGAGGGGAGGATGCCGACAGTGGCCTGGAACCGAGGGTGGGGTTGGGGGGCCGGGCCTGGGTTACCATATAACTTCGTCCTTTCCAACTGCGGGCTAAAAGTTCACACATCAGAGCTCTTCGAGGGTGGCTGCTCCTTTAAAGTATGCAGTGTTTGTGTCACTTAACGGTTCACCTGTCTGCAGTGGCCAGAAGAAATGATTAAATCTGTGAGCACGCCCTAAGCCAAGACATGCCAAAGGGCTGGGCCTTCCGGGAGGCCTGGCTGAGAAGCAGGATGTGGGACTTGCCGCCACACTTGGGAAGTCGCTGCTGGTCTGCTGACTTGCTCAGGACAATCCAGATGTGCAGGAACAGCTGTTGGCAGGGGGGTATCCTTGCCATGGTGGGGGGGAGGGGTGTGGGGGAGGGATCCATACAGCTGCAGTTAACGTCCTGGTCCAGGGCTGCTGGCAAGGAGCAAGGGTTCACGGGAGCTGAGCTGGCGGTCCTGCTCCTCTGTTTCAGTCTTACACACAGAGGACACCCCAAGCAGACTCGCCACGGCTAGGTCCTGACTCTCCCAGGGAGCCCGGCAGGGCACTGCTGGGCCAGAGGTGGGCCTCCTGACGGCTGGCAGTTCTGGTCCCCATCTTGATGTTGATGAGGGCAAGATTGGGGGTGTGTCACAGGGCAACACACACACACACAGCGTGTAGACAGACATCACACACGTGCACAGGAACGTACTCATGCAGAACACACATGTTCAGTGTATATGCACATACCACACACATGCAAGAGGTACACACACACACACACATGCACATGCACATGCAGTATCTACACACATCTAACAAATGTGAGTGCTGGTAAGCTCACACACATAGCACACAGGCACAGGATGCAGACACCCCCCACATGCACATAGACACAACAGGGTTACACACATGTATCCACATGTATGCACACACGACACACATGCACATCCCACACATGGATGCATACATGCATCACAAATCACACACTTGCAAAGTAAACATATAACACATTTGACACATCTAATGTACATGTGTGCAAACACACACAACTATGTCCACATGTGTGCACATCATACCGTGCACACAGCACACACTTACAAATGCCCTCCCCATGTATTACACACACAGCGTACAATTATGATACATTCACATACATGACACACATCACAAATGACAAATCACATGCACACATGGTCACACGCACACACAGTCCATGTGTAGCAATCACACATAAATACACACATATGCACAAGCATTTAACACACGTACATGGTACACACCCACACACACACCACACAGGCACACGTAAACACACATTTCCACACACACAGACATGGGCACATCATGCACACATTTACCATGCATGTGTGTACATAGATAATATGCGTGTGCATACGTATGCACACTCACACACACACAGCCTGGCTGCTGGGTGCAGGTCCTGCTGGCCTCTGCTCTCTGAAACCAGACGGGCCATGTGTCTGGCCATAGACGGCACTCTCTGCTCAGTACTTGATGTCTCCGTTGATCGAGGGCAAGGACGGAGTGCTGACGAGCCCTTGCTGGTCTCCACGCCTCTGGAAGCGATTCCGGATGAGCTTGTAGATGGCGAAGCCGGGGATGGTGAGGCAGGGTACCCCGGCCACAATGACCACCACAGCGTACACCCAGCCGGGGTACGTGGTCTTCTGTGACTTGGGGAATTCTGACTGTGAAGGAAGACACAGCTGGGGTGAGCGGCACATAGGAATTGAGGAGTGGTCCTCTTCCCTCTTCTCAGTCTGCTTCCACCTCAAGGCTGCCACCTTCCCCACCTGCCTGCTTCAGTCCTCCTCCCGTGCTTTTCCCTCCCCCAAGCTCCTCTTCCCACTGCTCCCCCATCTCCTCAGTCCTCCCCCCACACTCCTCTTACCACTGTCCCCCTCTATCCTCAGCCCATCTCCTTCCTCCTACATTGTTCCCCAACTTTCCCAGCTCCCCCAAGTTCTTCTTCCCACATTTCCCCCCTCCTCTTCTCTCAGCTCTCCTCCCATGCTCTTTCTCCCTCCTCCCTGCTTCTCCTCACACTTTCCTCAGACCTCTCCCCTTCTCCTTCCTCCTCTCTCACCCTTCCATCCACGGTCCACAGCTCTCCTCCGTCCTCCCATGCTCCTCCTCACAGGCTCTTCCTCCCTCCATCCCAACTCCTCTTTCTAGCCTTCTTCCTTCCACATTGTCCATTCTTTTCTCTCTCCTCCTATGGTCCTCCTCACCCTCCTCCTCTCACTTTTTACAGCCTTCTTCCCTCCTCCCACAATCCTCTTCTCTGTTCCCACGATCCTCTTCCCCCCTCCCACAATCTGCTTCCCTTCTCCTTCTCCTATGATCCGCTTTTCTCCTCTCAATGTATCCTCTTCCCTCCTCCCATGACCCTCTTCTCCACTCCTATGGTCCTCTTCCTCCTCTCATGTTCCTCTTTCCTCCTTTCTCAGCCCTCTTCTCTCATTTCTCAGCTCTCATCTGTCCCTCTTTTCCTCTGCTCTCCTCCCATTTCCCATATGCTCTTTCTCTGTGTTTTCTCAGTTTTCCTCCCTCCTTATTCTTTCTCCCGCCTTCTCCTGCCCTCTTTGTTCCTCCCACATTCCCCCTCCCTGCTTCCTCAGCCCTCCTCCCGCTCTCCATGGTCCTCCACACTCCTTCTCTAGCCTTCTCCCCGTGCTCCCTCTCCCTCCTCCCCCTGCCTTCTTCTCTCCTCCCGTGGTCCTCCTCCCTCTTTCTCAGCCCTCCTCCCTCTTCCCATGCTCCTCCTTCCCCAGCCCTCTTTCCTCCTCTCATGCTCCTCTGGCCACCTTTGCCAGCCCTACTCTCACTCTCTGCTCTTTATCCCTGCTTTTTCTGTCTTCTTTCCTCCTCCATGGTCCTTGCCCCTGTTTCCCCAGTGGGCCCATGCTGAACTCACATAGTCTGGGTCCCAGACGCTGTACGTCAGCTCCTCATTGACCTTGATCACGAAGAAGAACAAGAAGATGACCAACATGAGCAGCGGACTGATTACTCTCCACATGGCTTGCCAGAAGATGTTGGGCTTGTGACCAATCATGAATTCAATATCCTTATTAAACCTGGAAGGCAAGGCCAGGGAAGGGAGTTGTCACCTGATGGACAAAGTCAGGCCACTCCTCTCACCAAGGCAAAGCGCAGTCCACTCTCTCCAGTTGCTGGACACCATGATGTGGTCCTGGAGTACCACATTGTCTCCCCAGGTCAAAATCCTAACTGTCCTTGCTGGTAAAGATGCCGCTGGACTGAGGAGTCTCTGCTGTCTCTACAGCTAAAGCCCCATTTCCTGGACATCTGTAGAAACCTTGCTGTCCCAAAAGAGTACTGACCAAAGCTCAGATCCTTGAACACAGCGTTGGAGAACTCACTGTCCCCACCAAAGACTTGCCTTATTATGTTGTGCTAAACACAAACAAGTAGTTGTCACTGAGTCAGCTCTGATTCAGGGGACCCCACATGTGTCACTGTGGACTGCATGCTACAGGGCACTCAGAAGAAGGTCTTTAGGGCTTTCTTCTGAGGTGCAGCTGGTGGACTTGAACTTCCAACCTTTCAGCAAATAGTGAACACTTGACCAACTGCGTCATCCAGAAACTCTTTATACAAAACCCACTTGACCAACTGCATCATCCAGAAACTCTTTATGCAAAATTCAATGCTTCCCAAAGACAACCCAATGCTTCAAACTTAACTAGTTGTGGTTATGCATTGTTGAATTGGACCCTCCAGAGGGTTTTCAGAGGCAATAAGCTGCACAGGAGACTTCCAAATCTTTTCCCATGGAGAAGCTGGTGGTTTCAAACTGCACATCTCTGAGGTGATATCTCAATTCCTTACCACTAGGTCACCAAAAAACTTCCTAACTCAACTTGGGGATAAGGAATTCTGCAGAAACTGAGATAAGAGCTTGGCTGCTGTCTGAAAAGTCAGTGATTTGAATTTGGGAGGAAGAAGAGACAGCCTTTATCTGTAAAAATCTGCAGTCTTGGGAGCCACATGGGACAGTTTGTCTCTGTTCTGCAGGATCACTTTGAACAGGAACTGACTTGATGCAGGATGGTTTCCGGTTTATGCTCTCTTTCAAAAAGGCGCTCTGGTAGGTGGTTGAGTCTATAGAGAGTTGTTCTACTGACCCAAAGACCATGCCTCTCTGGTGGTTTGGATCCACCAGCCTGTCTGAGGGAGAAGGATGGAAATGTCTTTCACGAGGTTTACAGACTTGGAAACCCATTGGAGTATCTGCACAAGGGCAATGAGGTTGAGTTTTCTCTTTCCTAAAGGGACCTAAGAGCCCTTGGCTGGGTGCTTTCTATCCTCATACTTATAGCCTTCATACATCGAGCCTCTTCTACACAAATGGGCCCCCTGTTGTTAAATGATGAACTCAACAGCTAGAACGTCATCACAAGCTGACCCAGGCCCTAGCAGAGCCACAAAGACAAAGGCCTAGAACTGAACTCACTTTGTGACTCAACGCTCATCCATGTAGCAGACCAGCCTATAAGGGAAACAGGAAGACCGGGGGGAGGACTCACTCCTTAGAATAATCAACCACATAAGAGTGAGAGGTCAGATTAATGGGCCATGCAGTCAACCTCCATGACCCTCAGACCAGAAAAACTAGATGGTCTCAGTACCACTGCTGACTGCTGTAAAAGGAATCATAGTGGATGGTCTTGGATAGAATGGGTACAAGTGTGGAACAAAATTCCAAAACATATAAATGTCCCAAGTTTATTGGTCTGAGAGACTGGAAGAACCTCGGAGAATGTGGCTTTTTGTCACTTTTTGAGTCTGAAACACAATTCACCACCATAGCTCAACTTTGATGCAAATAAGACGGGCTTATCAGGCGATCGATAGCACCAGGGAGGCACCTTCTTAGAAAACCCAACCAGCTAAGATCAAATGTGCCACATGTGCCTTGGGATAAAGTTTAGAAAGTGATAAGAGGGAGGTAGGAGAGATAGGTTAATGGAAATGAAAGTCACAGTGGGGAATTGGCAGCAACACAGTGATATGGTGGGCATTGTCATTAATACCCCAAACCAAAATGTGTATGGACAGTTGAATGGGAACCCTGTTTGACTTGTAAACTTTCAGTCAAATATCACACACACTCTTGAAGAGCCGTCAGCAGGCACAGCTCCAGATTCAAACAAGGGACTGGCCCAAAGGGGTTCTGTGGGCGTTGGTGTGGTGACAGATGTGCCCCATTCCCATCTCTTATTGTTCCATTGAGATAACATAACTCTCAGGCTCATGTCTGGCTTCAATCAGATATGTGCACCTCATCTGTAGAATTGCACACACCCCTCTTCTCACACCATACACTCATGTCTCTTGACAAACTTACACACTTCCTTTTCAATATACCTCACATTACAACAAAGTACAGACTGCCTGTGTGACTCAGTCTTCCTTTGCTCTGACCATTTAAGTTGGCCAAGGGTTTCTGGTCACCCACATATTGATGAGATACCTTCTATACGTGCCCTTAGGGTACTCTGTTGACTCTGTGGTTGCTAAAGTGTTAGTGAACGTGCCCACAGCTGCTCTGCAGGGAAAGACAAGGGAGTGTGGTTTTGTAAAGGTCTGTAGCCTTGTAAATCCCAAGAGGCAGTTGTACTCTATCCTACAGCGTTGCTGTGGGCTGGGCTTGACTCCATGACAATGGGTTAAGTTTTTATATGTGTATCCTTAGAAGTTCACTGTCATTGTTGTGGTTGGGTGCCATTGGGTTGAATATGACTCACAGCAACCCTACGAACAACAGATCTGAACCCTGTCTTGTCTGCACATCCTCATTATTTCTGACACATTCATATAAAAGTTTGGTTCATGGGAAGACAACCTGGAGACATCCTTTGGAAAACCTGCCTTTGAAAACCCTATGGATCACTGTTCACGGACACTGTGAGTGGGTGTCACTTCAATGGCAGCTGGCTTTTGCTCTTCGTAGGAGCTGGAATCTCTGAGACTTTAGAAAATCATCTGACAGTATCTGTTAAAATTTAAAGAGAACCATCCCTTTGACCAAAGTTCCTACAGTGGGAACTCTATCTGAGATCTCGGAAAGGGGGAGGAGGTAGGCAACCTCTGAAGCCATTCCCATGCATGGCGCCCCCACGTGTGTCCAAGCAGAACTGAAGGCCACATCCCAATGGCTGAAATTTTGGAAGTAGAACCCCAAAGATTTCTGGGTGGACTTGAAACGCCAACCTTTCAGTTAGTAGCCAAGCACATTAATTGTTCGCACCATGCATGTACAGCTTCCTACTTCCCATACTATTGAACAATCTCCTCATGTCACTGTTGTCACTCATCTGTGTCCAGCCACGGCTAGAGTGGTCCTGGGAGCTGAGAGGACAGCTCATATTGCTCATGGAGAAGCAGCGCACTGGTCAGGATTGGAGATGGTACTGCAGTCAGATGCCAGATACCACACATTCAGGCTTCCCGTCTCTATCTTACCAACCCACTTAACTGTTCTGATGGAGGAAAGTTTGCAGTTGGCTTAACTCCTGCTGAGGTTCTCCAAAATTCCTCTGCTCTATAGCGGTCAGTCTTGTCTTAGTGCGCTCTGCTTTCCTGTACTTCCCAGATACTGTGATTGTCACGAATTGAAGGTTTGTGACACCTTGCATTGGTAGGTGCCATCCAGTTGACTTTGACACAGAGCCACCTCACATATAGCAGTACTCCAGTATCCTGCCCAAACCTGCGTCATAATCAGCAGGATGATCCAAGAGCTCCACTAAGTTCAAGTCCAATGTTGCAGTCACTGTGTCAACACATTTCTTTTAACATGAAAATATTAAGAGTCTATGGTCTTGATAATACAACAAGATGATGCTTAGAACTGGATCACTTGAACTTTTCTCTTCTTATCTCCTCCAAGTTCTAAGCGTTTGCATCTTTTGATAGCCAACACTCTTTCAGATCTGTAGGATGACTCAGCACGTTCAAGTCTTTTTTTAAAAAAGAATTTAAATTTTTTTCATATTACTCTGATTCATTTACAAAGTTTGAATATATTGTTTTTCACAAAAGACCCTTCCTACTTCATTCATCCCACCCACACATCAAATTGTGCAACCCCATCCATCCTCCTCCCTTTATTTCCACCCCCCCTTGGATCCTCATACTCATTGTAGAATAATGGTTTTATACAGTATTTGTCCTTGTGGGACTGAGTTAGTTCACTCAGCATAATGCTCTCCAGTCCCTCCCAAGTTAGCTAGTAATTCACAAAATGATTGCTCCTTCGGGCTGCATAGTACTCCATTGCATAAATGTATCACAACTTCTCAATCCAATCTATTGTGGTTGTACATCTGGGCTGTTTCTATGTTCTTGCGATGGTGAATAATGCTGCTATGAAAACTGGTGTACTAGTTTCTGATTGAGCCTCCTTGGAAGCAAGGATTCTGAGGCTTCGTCTGACATACTTTGGACATGTTGTAAGGAGGGACCGGTCCTTGGAGAAGGACATCATGCTTGGGAGGGTGGAGGGACAGCGCAGGAGAGGAAGGCCCTATATGAGGTGGATTGATTCAGTGACTGGGGTAATCGGGATGGGTGTATCGGAGACAGTGTGATTGGCACAGGACAGAGCAGCGTTTAGGGCTGTTATACATAGGGTCGCTATGAGTCGCAAGGGACTCAACGGCACACAACAACAACAACATCATGATGTTGATATTGGCGGAGCAATGAGGAGTCTGTTTTCTTGATGTTGAAGTATAGTCTATATCGAAGGCTACAGTCTTTGATCTGCTTCAGTAAGTGCACAAGATAAGTCTATGGGTAACATTATTTGTCCAAAATCATGTGCTTCTTTTGTGTCTTTGTGTTACATTTTGGTAATTTCCACAATATTTTAAACTTTCCCATAATTCCCTGGTGGCTTACTAAGGTACACATTGTGCTTCAAACTGAAAAGTTAGTGGTTCCAATCCACCAACTTCTCCTTGGGCAAAAGGTAGGCAGTGTTCTTCTACAAAGACGTACAGGCTCAGACGCCTGATGACGTGCTGCTTTGAGCAGGATTACATGACGGCAGTGGGGCTGGGTTTTGGTTTTACTGCGCACTTTACATGTTGTGGCTATTAAGTGCCATTGAGTATGACTCACAGAGACCCTCTGAACAATGCATTTGAACCCTGTCTTGTCTTGTCCCATCCTGACCATCTCCAACAAACTCGCATCCACCATCACAGTCACTGTGTCAATTCATTTCATTGAGGGTCTTCCCCTCCTTCACTGACCTTCCATCTGTCCAAACCTGCTGTCCTTTTCCAAGGACTGGCCCCTTCTCCCAACACACCTGAAGTATGTGAGAAGGTTCACTATCCTTGCCTCTGTAAAAGCACCCTGGTTGCACCTTTCCCAGACATACTTATTAGTCTTTTTTGCAGCCCAATGGAATAGTCAGCATTCTTCTCCAATATCACAACTCAAAAGTGTCAATTTGTCTTCCATCATTCTTTTCCACTGTTCAACTTTTAGATGCACAGCAGGTAACTGTAAAGATCACGGCTTGGATCCAGTGCACTTTGGTCTTCAAAGTGACATCTTTGCTCATCAGCATTCTGGAGAGGTCCCTGACAGCAGACTTTCCAATGGAATACGTCTCCTGATTTCCTGGCTGTTGACTGTGGGTCCAAGCAAGATGATGTAATTGACAATTTCTCTCCCTTCTCTATCTATCATGTTGGGCCAGTGATGAGGAGGATACTTCCCCGAGGAAACCCATCACTGCTGAGACGGTTCTGACTCATGGTGACCCTCCTCTGGGCTCCCGAGGCTGGAAGTCTCTGTGGGAGAAGACCGTCTGCCTTTCTGTTGTAGAGCTGTGGGTGGGTTTGAAACACTGAATTTTCAGTCAGCAGCCCAATACATATAAAGCGATTCCGTCAGGGCTCCTAACAGACTATGGCGTCGTTATGTACCATCGAGTCAGAACTGACTCACAGCTGAGTCTGCGGCAGGTTTTCAGAGGCAGTAAGAAAACCACCCACGAGATCGCTCACCTGCCTCCTATGGGGCAACTGGTGGATTCAAACCGGCTACCTTTGAGTTATCAGTGCAACGCCATACCACACAGACTATGCTGCTGTGTACGGTTGAGCTGGAACTGAGTCACAGCTGAACTTCCCGCTGGTTCGCAGAGGCAGTAAGTCGCATGGGAAGAGATTGCCCATCTTTCTCCTGTGGAGCGGCTGGTGGATTAGAATCGTGTCCCCTTGAGTGGGCAGTGCAATTCCTTAGTGGAAAGAAGCTGAGCTGCGATCCCAAAGGCACGCGGTTCGAATCCACCTGCTGCTCCATGGGAGAAGGATGGACAATCTCCTCCCGCACAATTAACTTCCTCTGCAAACCTGCTGGAGGGTCAGCAATGCGTCTGTTCTGACTCGACGGTACACAACAGCAACAACAACAAGCCACCAGAGCTCCCTACAACAGCATATGGCAGAGTGTAAACATAATTTTGTATGTACTGTAGTTGTTGTTGTTGTTGTTGTGTACCATCAAGTCGGAACCTACCCATAGGTGATGCTCGAGTGTGTTTGCAGAGGCAGTAAACTGCACCAGAAGAGAATGCCCATCTTTCTCCCGCAGAGCAGCTGGTGGATTCAGACTTTGTACCTTTGCATTGGCACCACAATTCCTTACCACTAGACCACAGAGCCACGTGACTATTGCCACATCGATGTGACGGCAGTGGTGTAGGGCAGAGCCACCAAGGCCTCCAGTGTGACTGAGGCCCCAAACATCCCATGGCTCTTCACCAGGACAGGGGTCGCCTCCCGCCTACCTGTCCACGCCATACACGTAGACGACCGCGAACATCTCACAGAAGGCGATGATGAGCAGGGGGATGGAGCCGGCATAGCTGTCCAGCAGGGAGAGCCAGTACTGGCCCGAGTTCAGGGTGAAGATGAAGGCCAGGAGGTAGGTCCCCAGACAGATGAGGCCTGTGGGCAGACAGGGCGGGGTCACCCGGGCAGGCAGAGGTGCTGGCCCGAGTGCAGGTCGGGGGCGATGCCTGCCTGGGACTCGTCCCATTGGGAGTCCTGGGGGAATTCACAGCTATAAATGCGCCCCGTGTCTACAGTGACCAGTTTCACATCAGACTTTGGACTTTAAAATTCCTTCTTATGGAACAGTGGTCACGAGAACAAAGGGTGTTTCAGAAGAATGAGGATTGTTTGTTTTCTCTCTGTAAAAACAGAGAAGAAGTTTATCTTTTGCTTTTCAAAGAGAGGAACGAACGGGGGTGGGGGTTAGAGAAAAAAGTGCAACAATGAATGAATGGAAATCCAAAATATCTGTAAAAGTTCATGAAAATTAATAAAATAAAATTTAAAAAAACCCAACAAAAAACAGAGCGGTCAGCTGCAATGGAAATCTGTGCTCCAAGGAGGCTGTGCTGGGTGCCTCTGTGAACCTGACCGCATGTGGGCTGTGGGGAATTCAAGCCCAGTCTGGCGGTGCAATTATCTATGCAACTGGCAGCATCTCCAAGGTATATGCACGCTGTGTTCCTCAGAGAGAGAGCTCCTGGGGGGCTAATATGCAGCTTGGGAGACACAAGGGGCATGTTCACAGTGATTGAGGGTCCCTTCTCCCATTCTCTTCTCCCTTCTCCCCCAAATATAGCAGCTACAGATACATAGTACCCAGCTATAGCAGTCTCCCGACTGCCCTGTCCACTCATCACGTGTCTAGCCGACATCCCCTACCCTCTCTAACCCCTCCCTCCTCTCCCTGCCATCCTGGCTGCCGCCACCCTGACCACTGAGCTCTCCTGCATCTTCACTGTCCACATCCTGCCCCACCCTGCCCCGGCCAGGTCCACACGGGCTGTGCAAAGTCCTGCTGCCTCCTTGACCATGACCATGTCCTTGTCTGTGAAATAGCCTCTCTGAACTAACTCTGAACCTACTGCCGCCTGCCACCCAGTGTCTGCCACTCTCTGCTCTGCTGACTGTCATCCCTCACTGGCCCTTGCTTGTACCCTATGGTGGCATCTGGTGACCTGGGCTCTCCTGCTGTGGCTTTCTAGTGTCCATCTGAGTAGATCAGTGATGGTGGCTTAGCTCTGGCCTCAGACCCCCAGTGCTGTCACAGGCTGCACAGAGCCTCCACACTGAGACCCACAGCTTCCAGCCCTGCCCACAGGATTCCTTGTCGGGGAGCGGGCAGGGTGGTGGGTGGCACGCCAGGACCCAGCACGCAGCCCCTTGCTGTCCGTGGAACCCCGTGCACAACGTGGCTTTGTTTCCCGGGGCCCACCCTCTGTGGGTTCCTCCAGTGACCGTCCATCGAGATCAAGTCCTCTCTGACCACTCTCTGCATGTCCAGGCTGACCTTGTTCTCTCTTCCTGCTCCTTCCGCCCCCGGGGATGTCTGCTCTGGCTGATGACCCCAGCTCGGTCCCCACACATTCTGACAGGAGCCCCCCACGCACCTGTGACCACCTCCTTGGGCCACTTGGCCGGGAGGATCTTGAGGTCCTGCAGAGGCACCACCACACCCTCCATGTTCCCGAACATGGACGACAGGCCGAGGCAGAAGAGCATGATGAAGAAGAGAACCGACCACAGCGGGGACACGGGCATCTTGGTGATGGCCTCGGTGAAGACGATGAAGGCCAGCCCTGTGCCCTCCACGCCCTGTGGACACACAGCGTCACCCTCACAGCCAAGCCGCACCCAGGCCTCCAAGTCAGTCCCCACCGGCCGCTACCGAAAAGCCGGAACACCTGCCCGCTCCGCTCCTGAGACCTCCATCTTTATGGAGGAAGGCTTCTTCCGCTTTCCTTCTCCTGAATGGTTCATAGATTTGAACCTCTGACTCCTCAGTTACCAGTCAACACACTTAACCACTATGCTGCCAGTGCTCATTTCCCCAGCCCCATAGAAACCCCCCCAAGTCCCCCAATGTCATTGAGTTGGAACCAACTCGTAGCTGCCCCTCCAGCAGGCCTGCGAGGCTGGGCATCACAGGGGATGGGGTTGCCCATCCTTCTTCTTAGGTGCTTCTGGTGGATTCAAACCAACCAAGATAACAGCACACTTCCCTAGGGACCTCCAGAGACATCCCGCAGCCTCATTCGCTACCTGAGCCTCCCTTACTCCACTGTTGTTGAGTACCACTGAGGTGGAAAGGACTCGTAGCTGGTTCTCCAGTGGGTTTTCAGAGGCATAAATTGCACGGGAGGAGACTGTCCACCTTTCTCTCACAGAGCACCTGGTGGGTTTGATCTGGAGCTCACCTCATCGTTGTCGTCAGGTGCCACTGAGTCAAGTATGACTCATAGTGACCCGATGAACAACAGCCCTGAGCCCTGTCCTGTCCTGTGCCGTCCTCACCAACTCTGAGCCACTTGAGCCCATGGCTGCAGTCACTGTATCAATCCAACTCATTGAAGGTCTTCCTCTCTTTCTCTGACCCTCCACCTTTCCAAGCATGATGTCCTTCTTCAAGGAATAGCCTCATGTAGCAATATGCCCAGAGTCTGTGAGATGAAGCTTCACCATCCTTGCCTCCAAGGAGCGCTCTGGATGCACTTTCTCCAACACACATCTGTTCGTTCTTTTGGCAGCCCGTGGGATAGTCAGTACTTTTCTCCAGCTACCTTGAAATGCCCTGCTAGTTTTTATCTGCTGCTCCTTCCTCTTTCTCTGTGAATTCTACCCACTGCCTTGGGTTGGACCCCACTCACAGTGCTCCCCTGTCACTTTCTGAGGTGGTAAAAATTTTCTGGGATAAATATTTACTGCCTATCTTTCTCTCATAGAGGACCCGGTGGATTTGAACCATGAACCTTTTGATTAACAGCACATGTTACCACCAGCCCTCCTTCCATGCATTCTTATCATAATAAACCACCATATTTGTTACGTTGATGCCAACTTAATGAACTCGAGCATTCGGAAATTCATTGCTTAACTCCATCTGACAGCACACATGTCGCACTGTGGGGATTTGTGTGTTTCTGTGAGGCTGGAACCTGCACCATCAGTATGTCAAGTGCCAGCCAGGTCATCCACAATGAGTGGGATCCAGATAAAGACAGAGACTAGCAAGAAACACCCGGTGATCTACTTCTGAAAAATGAGCTAATGAAAACCCCACGGGTTACGACAGAGCGCTGGATGCCACAGTGCTGGGAGCCGAGCCCTGGGAGGCTCTAGAAAAAAAAACACAATGGGTACAAGGATGGACTGGAGCAGAATGACTGGGCGTGGAGACGGCACAGGACCGGGTGATGCTTTGTGGCTCCGTGTCTGGGACGACCAAGAATCACAGCCAGCTCAGCAGCAATGACAGCCATTGCCGAGTGGATTCTAAAAGGTGGAGCTACGTCTGACAAACAATACATGCTCCCACAAAGAGCAGTCCCCGGAGGAAGAGAGCATGCTGGGAAATACAGAGGCTCAATGAAAAGGAGCAGGACCCCTGGGGTGCGATGGGCTGATTCTGTGGCTGCAACAATGGTCTCTAGCACAGCCAGACCGTGAGCCTGGTCTGCAATCCCAGGAGCTCCAGAGACGGCTGACCAGGCAGGCAGGCAAGGCAGGGTTTTCCCAGGGGCAGCCAAGGAGACGGTGCTGTAGAACCTGCAACCTGATTAATCTGAGATCCTAGCACCTGGAACGGGGGAGAATATGGGGCTGTGTGTCAAGGCCGCTTGCCCTGTTTCTTGTTGCCATAAGGCAGCTCCCACTCTTGGTGCTGGGTGTCATGGATTCACTTTTACTCGACGCAGAACAGGATGAGACATCACCTGGCCTCGTACCATTCTCCAAGCCACTGCTCTGGCTGTTTAAGCCTTTTCATCTCATGAAGGTCTTCGTGCTCAGACTCTTGCTGTCGTTAGGGGCTGCGGACTCAGAGACGATGCACAGCGATGCTATGAGCAATAGATCTGAGCCCTGTCCTGTCCGGTGCCGTTCCCATCATCCCTGATGCTCTCGAGCCTGGTGTGCAATCACTGTGTCAGTCCGTCTCATTGAGGGCTTTCCTCCTCCTCTGCCTCTCGACCTTGCCCGGCATGAGGTCTTTATCTAAGGACTGGCCTCTTCTGACAACACGCCCCAATGACGTCAGACCAAGTCTCAACAATCTCGCCTCTAAGGACACCCTGGTGGAACTTCCTCCAAGACAGACTTGTTCCTCCGGCAGCCCAAGGGCTGGTCAGTATTCCGGAACTACGTCAGTTACGTGAACCCCACTGTCACAGTGTGGTCACGGCAAGGTCAGCAGCCCCTCTAAAGCCACCAACGTGTGGTCTTTCTGATGGGACAGCATCGGGGGGGCCGAGATGCCCCATCCAGGAATGTTGGCCCCTGTTGTTGTTGTTGTTATGTGCTATCAAGTCGTTTGCGACTCATAGCAACCCTATGTACAAGAGCTCTAAATGCCGTTCTATCCTGTGCCAACCTCGCTGTCTCAAACACATTCATTCCCACCACCCCAATCACAGAATCAATCCATCTCACTGAGGGTCTTTCTCTCCTGCGCCACCCATCCACTCTGCCAAACATGATGTTCCTCTCCAAGGACCAGTCCCTCCTTGCAACATGCCCAAAGTATGTCAGACGAAGCTTCAGAATCCTTAACTCCAGGGAACATTCTGGCTTCACCCTCTCCAGGACAAACCTGTTTGTTCTCTTCACAGTCCATGGTATATTCAACACTCTTCTCCAGCACCACAGCCCAAAGGCATCAATTCTCTTTCTATCATCCCTAGTCACTGTCCAACTCTCTGATGCATAGTCCCTATAAGTGAGATTCTAGAAGCTTCTGGCGAGTCTGTGCCTCAGCTGTGGCCGGAGCCTCATGAACGTACCTCTGAGAGGAGGGAGTTCATGTCGCAGGTCTGGAAGGTGAGCTGTGCGTAGGCCACGGGGTTGGTGAGGTTGCACCACTGCTGCATCTCGGCAAAGTTGTCCTGGGTCACGTTGCCCTCGGGCAGGTCAAACCCGTTCATGAGGGTGAGGATGTTTCTGGGGGTGAAATCAGGGCCTCAGTTGGAGCTGCATGGGCGGCCCTGGGCTGCCCCGGTCCTCGCCTGGAGGAAGGACTGCAGGCCCCGGCCCCGCGGGGGGTGGCTCACCTGTCAAAGCACTCATCGTAGCGCTCCGTGGCCCGGAAGCCGATGATGGAGTAGACCACGGTGGCCGCGTAAACGGACGTGAAGCCGTTGATGATGGACACGATCACGGAGTCCTTCTCACAGTTGTTGCTGTGGGTGAGAACTGTGTCACTGTGGCCCCACCACGCTGACCTAACAGGGAGGGCTAGAAGCGGGCCTGACAGTGGCCCTGCATCACCACCTGGGTCCAGGGGCAGGGCTGGCCTGTCACTGTAACTGCGAGTGGGGAGGACGGGCCTGTCCCTTCTGTAACACTGACAGGGCACTGGGCACTCTGAGGGTGCCAGGGGCATGTCCCTGAGCCTTGGTGTCACTGTCACAGCTGGTGACCCTTCGCTTGTTCCCTTCTGGCTTCCTGACATCAGAGGCTCTGGAAGCTGTGGACGTGGAGACTCCTAGCCTCGCCCAGTTAAGGGGGTTCCTCTTGGGCTCTGCAGGTGGACAGTTGACCCCAGACTCCCAGCAGACAGGTTCCACTTTGGGCCTCCCTGATGTTGTTCATCAGAGCATATCTACCACCTCACTACTTCTCAGTTCACCCTAGAGACACCCGCAAACCCCCAACCTACTGCCGCAGGGTCAATCTTGGCTCGCTCAACCCTGCTGTTTGCCTTCGAGTTAGAACCGACCCATAGCTGACCCTCTAGTGGGTTTTCAGAGGCAGCTTATTGCACCGGAGGAAACTGCTCATCCTTCTCTCACGCAGCAGCTGGTGGATGTGAACTTCTTGCCTTTGGGATTGCAGCGCAGCTTCTTCCCACTAGGGCCACCAGAGCTCACAGTGACACTAGAGGGTCAAATAGAACTGCCCACAGGGTTCCCGGCTTTGCCTCACCTATTTTGGGCATGTTGTTATTCCTTGGAGAGGGACATGATTCTGGGAACGGTGGAGGGTCAATGAAGGAGAGGAAGGCCCTCAACCAGGTGGATAGATTGACAGGGTGACTGCTGCAGTGGGCTCTTGTGTGTCAGGAAGTGTGAGAATGGCTAGTGTGAGGACAGGACTAGGTTCAGATCTTTTGTTCAAAGGGTCCCTATGAGTCGTACTTGACTCGACAGCACCTAAACACAACAACAACAACAACAACAACAACAGCAACAGGGTTCCCAAAGCTGCACCACCACCGGAAGAGCCCGGTGGTGCACCATGTTACAGGCTGGACTACCAACTGAAATGTCAGTGGTTGGAATCCACCTGCCCCCCCGCCATGGAGGAAGATGAGGCAGACTCCTGCCACTAAGATGTGCAGCCTTGGCCCCCAGAACTTTGGCCTGCAGTCACCCCTCAAACCTGGATCAAAACTTGTGGGTCAACCCTCAGCCTCCTCTGATGCAGGCTTAGATGGTGATGCTTCCTGAGCCCTCCCATAGACCCCCTAAGCAGGGTGGGCCTACCTGCTTGTGTCTGCCCAGCTCAGCAACCTGCCTAATGTCACAGAGGACGGGATGTCCCCGTGAGGACAGAACATGAGGCCTGAGGGCTCGACCGGGCACGGACACAAAGGCAAGAACAAAACCAGCGGGTACCATTTGCCCCTGACCCGTGGCCACCCCATGTGCTCCATAAGGTTTCCAGTGGCGGATTTCTGGTGGCAGAAATCACAGGCCTTTATTCCAACATGCCTCTGGATAGACCCGAACCTCCAATCTCTCAGTCGGCAGCTGAGATGGTTAATTGTTTACACCACCAGGGGGACTCCTAATGAGAGGGCATGGAGGTCAAGGTCCTGACACAAAGGTATCAGTCAGGGCTGGTACCAGGCCAGACCTCTGGATTCACTAGAGAGCAACCCTGAGCCTCATGCTGCTCAGATGAGGTGACTGAGTCCCTTAAGTCACTGAAGCACTGAAATCAGCTTTGCTCATGAACTGTCGTGGGGTACAGGCGGGGCTCCGCTGGTACAGTCACCTCTACACCCCGTGCATTCAGCCAGGACCGCAGGCCCATCAGTGGATGCAAAGCTGGTACTTATGCTTGTCAACCGTCCAGTTGTGCTCACTTTACCCAGGGCCTCGTATCGGCCCCTTTATCCAGTCACCCCACCTCACAGCCAGGGCCTCATACCCACCTCACAGCCACCTTACAGTCAGGACCTTGTACCAGCCCGGTTATACAGTCGTCCTTACCTCACAGCCAGGACCTCATACCAGCCCTGTTATCCAGTCATCTCCACCTCACAGCCAGGACCTCATACCAGCGCCGTTATACAGTCACCCCCACCTCACAGCTGGGACCTCATATCAACCTCATTACCCAGTCCTCGTCACCTCACAGCCAGGACCTCATATCAGCCCTGTTATCCAGTCACCCCCACCTCACAGCCAGGGCCTCATATCAGCCCTGTTATCCAGTCACCCCCACCTCACAGCCAGGGCCTCATATCAGCCCTGTCATCCAGTCACCCCCACCTCACAGCCAGGACCTCATACCAGCGCCGTTATACAGTCACCCCCACCTCACAGCTGGGACCTCATACCAGCGCCGTTATACAGTCACCCCCACCTCACAGCTGGGACCTCATACCAGCCCTGCTATACAGTCACCCCCACCTCACAGCCACTTCACAGCTGGGACCTCATATCAACCTCATTACCCAGTTTTTGTCACCTCACAGCCCGGGCCTCATATCAGCCCTGTTATCCAGTCATCCTCACCTCACAGAAATTTACAGCCAGGGCCTCATAGAGGCCCGTCATCCAGTCATCTCCACCTCACAGCTGGGGCTCTGGTCCATCAGGAGACACAAAGCCAGGGCTCATGTGGCCCGACATCCAGTGCTCCCACCATGAGCTCAAACTTGGGCTCTGTCAGTAGACACGAAGCTGAGGCCCATGCTGGCCGGTCACCCCCACTACTCTGGGGCTTGGGCTCCTTGCCCCTCCCCCAGGCGGGTCACCTCCAGCTTCCTGCGCCTCACTTTCCTGACTTGTCCTGAGGTCCTGCTCCGGTCACATTCCTCCTTTCTGATCTGTCCTCTCTCTGACCCTGGGCTCAGTGCTGGGCTCACTGCTGTGGCTCCCTCATGGTCATGGTCACCTCCATTCTCTGACCCTGGGCTCACTGCTGGGCTCGTTGTTGCTCTGGTCCCTCACGGTCACCTCAGTCAGTCTCAGCCTTCTGGGAACAGCCACTTGTGGACACAGGTACTCTCCTACCCGGACCCCTTGCGGCTCCAGTCTCCATGCAGCTGCTCAGGGACCCACAGATCAGTGCCTGCTGAATACAACCCTTGACCTCTCCTGACCGCCAGACCACATTGCGGCTGACGCAAGGGCCTCACTTCCGGCTGCCTCCATCACATAACAGCTGCCCTGATCTCATCTCCTCCTATCAATGCATGAGAGATTCAGAGGCCCAGGGCCTCACACGGCCACTGCTCTGGCCACTGTCCTTTCTTAGCCAGGTCACTGCGTGGGCTCCTTGGTCAGGTCACTGTGTGGGCTCCTGATGGGTCTGTTTCTGGTAAGTTCTCCCACTGAGCAGGAGCCTTCTCGACCCTCTGAGCTTCACTGCAACCCCATCAAGTCTAGTCGCTCACATCTCCAGTCTTCCTACAGCCTCACAGCCTCACCTCCCAGGTGGGAAAGGGGACTGCAGGCCATGGGGGGCGGGGCGGGGGGAGGGGCAGTGGGTGTGGCTGAGATACAGGGAGCGGAAGTGCAGGGAGGACTCATTCCTGCCTGGATCTTGGAGGGAAAGGGGGCCCATTTCTTGCCACTGTGAGCCTCAGCCCAGCATTCCTGCTCGCTTTCCCACCAGCACTCTCCTCTAGTCCAGTGACTGGTCACCAGCTGACCGAAAGGCCGCAGCAGTGACAATGGCCACTCACGGATTCAGCTGAATTTCCCCCAGTCCCTTCCTTCTCCTTCTTTTCACCCTCCACATAGTGTGGCCACACTTGGTGTTCTAGGGAGATCGAGGCACGAGGACAGAGCGTCCTCCCCAACCGTCACGGCTGCCCGGGCTCTACCCACATACTCACTGCACCGAGTTGTAGCTGGAGAAGGAGATGAGGCCGCCGAAGGCCAGGGAGAAGGAGTAGAACACCTGGGCCCCTGCGTCCAGCCAGGTGACCGGATTGGCCAGCTCCGTGACCTGCGGGCCAAGCGGATGCTCAGTGAGGAGCTGGGCATGCTGCCCGCTCTCCGCCCTGCAACTCTCAGGGCCACAGAGAACGGGGTGACCTTCGCACAGTTTGGGGGCCCAAAGTCCTCAGGGAGCAGATGATAAGGCCACTGGGGGGTCATGATTGAGCATGGCCCTCAAAGCTGGAAGTGGGGGTCCCTTCCTTGTGGGGATGCTGCCACCCCGCACAACAAGGGATGAAATCAGGCCACAGCCAGATGCGTCCCTGGTAAGTGGCTTGATTCTTTGTCTTCTCTCCCAAGCCCCATATGACTGACCAGCCCAGTCCAGGGCTTAGTGACTGTCCACTGCAGATGAGGCGCGTCCTGGGTCAGCACAGAGGGGCCCCTGTGTCTCTGGGTCCCGCTGTGCTGCTCCCCCACTCCCGCCCCGAGAGCAGAGGAAGGGACTGACGTTTGGCGTGAAGAGGAAGACGATGCCGTTGGTGGCTCCCTTCAGGGTCAAGCCTCGGATGAGGAAGATGGTCAGGACCACATAAGGCAGCGTCGACGTGATGTACACAGCCTGGAGGAGAGGGGGGCAGACGTCCAGGCTCTGGGTGTCTTCCCACCAGCTCCCCCAAGCCCGACGGGAAGGCCACCACCATGGGGCTCCCCCTGGCCTCTCTCCAGAACTTCCCACGTGGGGAAGATTCCCACTACTGAACCAAATAGATCCCCACAACACTACACGGGGTCTCTAAAGCTGTAAGTCTGCACAGCAAGAGACTGCCCATCATTTTTATGTAGAGTGGCAAGGGGACTTGAACCGCGGACCTTTCTGTTATGCACCTCACCACCAGGGCTTCTTGTAGAAAATGTAACCTTTTGTGTTTCCACCCTTGCTTTTATTTGCACACCAATGTTCATAGCAGCATTATTCACCATCGCAAGAACATGGAAACAGCCTAGATGTCCAACCACAAACGAATGGGTTGAGAAATGATGGCACAGTTACATAGTGGAATACTATGCAGCACACAGGCGTAATAACTTTGTAAATTATTAGTTAACTTGGGAGGGGCTGGAGAGCGTTATGATGAGTGAACCAACTCAGTCCCACAAGGATAAATATTGTATAAGACAGTTACTGTAGATTGAGTAAAAGGATCCAGGAGGGGTGGGAGAGGCTGGAAGCAGAGGGATGTGGATGTGCAGGCGGAAGAGGGGATTAATCATTGGGTTGTACAATTTTATGGGGGCGAGTGTGCGGGAAATTGAAAAAATTTGTTCGAATTTGTATTCGAATTTTGTAAATAAACTAGTAGAAAAAATAAATTAAAGAAAAGAAAAAAGCAAACTCTTCAATTAGACAGCTATTGTGGATCCCCTCTGTGCAGGGGAGGGGAACTCTGGTGACCTGTGGTAAGGAGATGCCAACTCAAAGGTGCATGGTTCGAACCCACCAGCTGCTCCGTGGAAGAAGGATGGGCAATCTCCTCCCTTGCCATCTACTGCCTCGAAAGCCCGCTGGAGGGTCGCTAAGGACCGGGTCTCTCAGGCGGCAACAGCCCTGCGCAGAGGAGGCTGGGGGCTACGTTTCTGCAATGGCGCTGCTCACCCCAAGGGGGAGCCTCTCTACGGGTTTGAATCCACCATTGGGAGAAAGATGAGCAATCTCCCAATCGCTTTACAGCCTGGGACACCCTGGTGGGCGGTCAGGGAGGGGCAGGTTCGGACTCCACCGCACGGAGTGTGAGCATTGCGTACGACTTTAAAGTGTTCCGGACGCTCTAAGCGCAACATTTGAGAATGCTGGAGTGAAGCGCTGACCTGGCCAACACGAGGTCCCCGCGCCTTCTGACCCCGTGTCCTAGTCCTGGGGGCGGGGGACGGTCCGCTTCCCCAACCGAGGCCACATGCCAGCAGCAGCTGTCCAGGGCCGTGGTGGGCACCCACCCTCACTCCCCTGGGAGCGCAGTGACACCCCGCATCTGGTGCAGGGGGCCTCTCTTCCACCCGAGCCTCCCGCGCCCACCCTGGAGGGCCACCCTGTGGCACAGCGTGCGCCTACCTTCCCGGTGGTCTCTATGCCCCGGATGGTGCACACGTAGAGCACGCTCCAGGCGCACGTCAGGCTGAGCAGGATCCACCACTGGATGGTGCCCGACTCGTCGATGGACTTGGAGATGTTGAGCGTCTCCCGGTACCAGAAGTAGTCCACGGAGGAGCTCCTGGCGCACTCGTCCACGTAGCCTGGGGGAGAGGCGGCCGAGGCGGCCGAGGCGTACGGCTCAGGGAACGGGGGGCACATCAGGGACGGGGACAGAGGCAAGGAGCGTGGTAGAGGCGCTGAGCGGGAGGAGACAGGGCCTGCCTCCTCCGTGAGGCTGTGACAGCAGGGCGTACCCACACATACGTGCACAGACACCCACACACGTGCGCACGCATGCATCCACACACCCACGAATGCACGTACACGCGTGCGCATGCGTACATGAACACACATGTATGCACGCACTCACAGTAGTTCCTGCACGTGCATCCATGGCTCACACATGTTGTGTGTGCATTCACGTGTATGTGCACATACAAGCTTGCACGAACACTGTGTGCACAAGTATGCTATGCTTATACTCTCCCACACAGCACCTGGGAGAAGACCACAGTTCCAAGTGTCGAGTGCATTACCAAGTTCCCAATAGCTTTCCTTCTTCTTCTCCCCTTGCCCCCGGCTCGGGCCATGAGGATCTCCCAGGCGAGCGGAGGAGGCAGAGATGCTGGCAACACACTCAGCAGTGTGGGAGCCTGGTGGGGACTTGGGAGAGGCCGTGTGTGTGTGTGTGTGTGTGTGTGTGTGTGTGTGTGAATCAGTGGAATCTGCAGGGCTCTCACCCTGGCACTGCCCAAGCAAGTGTATGTGCTGTGGAGACAGGATGCACCTGGCAACTCTCTGTTCACATTGGAACGTCCCCCAGACCACCTTTCTACCTTGAGCCCCGAAACCGATCATTCTCCCCTTTAAAGAGCATTGCTGGCCTTAGATGTGCCCTGGGCTTTTGCCAAAATTGATCTACAGTGATCTGAACTTAAAGAAGAAAAAAATTAAAATACTACACATCGTAAATCAGGAACAAATTGTGCTGAGTCACATAAGTCAGCCACAAAAGGACAATTACAGTGCCAGACGGCTATCATAAATAGCTAAGACAAGATTACCAGGAATGGTTAGAGAGGGGAGTAAAAATTAATAAATAGATAAATCTGGTGAAGGGAAAGGCAATAATAAGTGCAAGTATAAGCTAAAAAGAGAGACAATAATAGAGATGGCAGAAGAATTGATGCCTTTAAGCTGTGATGTTGGAGAAGGGCACTGAATATCCCATGGACGGCCAAAAGAGGGTGCAACTGGTGCATGGTTTGAACTCAAGGAGTACTCAGAACATAGGCGATTTGAACGTGATCGAGAATGTCTCCCAAAAGTCATTTGGTGATCTGTTTCCATAAATACGACAGCACAGACAGCCCAGCGGGGCAGTTTTCACACCAGTCACCTTGGGTTGGAGCTTCCTTGAGCGCAGTGGATTTGGCTTGGGTTACACACACACAGGGTTAGGTCACGTGTGTCGTACATGATCAGAGGCAGGTGAGGAGGGTGCTCACCTGTCTCGTTCTTGTTGAGGGGGCACTGACTCCAGGGCAGGGGCTCCTGGAAGGAGTTGAAGAAGTACCACATGACCCAGGCGATGATGGTGTTGTAGTAGAAGCCCACCATGAAGGACACGAACATGGAGGCGATGCCTGGAAGGGAGAGAGGTCAGGAGGTCGTCACCCCCACATCCGGCCTGCTTCTCCCTGCTCCATCCTGGCTGCCCACCCCACTGGCCTTCTGTGTGTCTCTGTCCCTGAATGGTGGAAGTTCACGCCAGAAAAGGGAAACTGGCCACACAGGTGCACGGGCATAGCCCCGGACAAGTCAACCCACTCAAGCCAGCCTTACGTGTGGGTGACCCTTTCCCACACTCTTCAGTCAGGGAAAGGGAGGCTTTGTAAGCACAGGGTGTGGTGAGGCGAAAGGGTCTTGTGTCATCTGGTCACGGAGACAGAGAGATAGAGGCAGAGCTAAAAAGAAAGACACACACAGAGACAGAGGGACAGTCAGAGAGAGAAAGATAGGAACAGAGAGAGACAGAGATGGGAACAGAGACAGAGAGACAGAGAAAGAAACAAAGATGGAGACAGAGACAGAAATAGAGATAAAGGCAGAGAGACAAAGAGAGGCAGAAAAAAAAGAGGCAGATATACAAACAGAAATAAACAAAGATGAACAGAGAAACAGAAAGAGGCAGACAGAGAAAGAGACAGAAAGACAAAAACAGAGACAAAGAAGAGGAGATGAGGGGCACGGACATAGAGACAGTCAGTGACAGAGGCAGGGACGGACAGACAGACAGAGAGAGACAACCCTCAACAGAAATGAGACATGCGTAGACAGAGATGACCTGAGAGAAGAGACCACGCTGATGAAGCCCTGCTGGCCACGCCCCAGCAGAGAACATACACGGACACTGTGACTGGGGTGGGTCCTATTTTGTCCTGACTCTGTCCCTTCTCCCCTGAGGGTCACCACCTGGAGGTCTGCATGAGCCACACCTCTTGGAGTGTGTGGGGTTCCCCCTGGGTCAGTCTATAACTGAGTGAGTTTGGGTGGGGCTAGGCCTGTGCCCAGAGGGCCTCTCAGAGGTCAGCATCCCACTGACCTCCATGACAACACTGCATCCTGTGGGATGGATGCTTGAGTTTCCCCATATGGAGACTCCCACGAACCACCAGGGGTCCTGGGACCACCCCCCACCCCCATCCTGGCAGACCAGACTAGCTCCTGGTGACCTCTGTTACTGATGACCAAAATCATCCCGGCTGGACACTGCAGTTTACACTTGCAGAATAGTCTAGAAAGTGTTTCCCAAAGGTATTAGGGGTGTAGAGGGAGCATCATCAGTGGGGATTCCTCCCTCCCAGGGATTTTCCCGGGACGCCTGGCTGCGCACGCACCGACACCCTTCAGGGCCGGGTGGATGGAGCTCCAGACGCCCACGCTGCCCTTGCGCAGCCTCTGGCCGATGGCGAACTCCATGTGCAGCAGCGGGATGCCCTCGACCACCAGCAGGATGAGGAACGGGATCATAAAGGCTCCTGCAGGGAGAAAACGCAGCAGCACACTCAGGGGGGTTTCTCCCACGGACGGCAACAAACCCATGCGACTGGCTGAGAAAAGCAGCGGTCCTTATGCGCTCAGGACGCGGAGCCGACTCAGAGCTGACCCTCCGGTCATAGCAAAGGCGAAGACACCCCAGGCTTCTCTGTCAGAACAGCTGGTGGATTCGAACCGCGTGCCTTTGGCTTGGCTGCGGACTTCCTTACCCATTAGGTCCCCAGACTTTCCTAGTAAATTAGCAGCAGTGGGAAAGAGGAAGACTCAGCGAGATGCATGGACGTATGGGCTACGACCACGGTTCAAGTACCGCGAGGACAGCGAGGTTGGCGCAGGGCTGGGCGCGCTTGCTTTGCTGTATATCAGCTGACAGAGTTGGAACGACCTTGACGGTGCTCCTTGGAAGCAAGGAAGGTGAAGCTTCGTTTCATCTACTTTGGACACCTAGTTAAGAGTGGGTAGGGCCTTGCAGAAGGACTTGGAAAGGTGGAGGGTCAGTGTAACAGAGGAAGACCCTCCGCCAGATGACTGACACGGTGACTGCGCAACGGACTCAAGTGTGTCAGAGAGGGCGAGGATGGTTCGGGATAGGACGGGGATCAGATCTCTTTACAGGGTTGCTGTGAGTCAGTTAGTTTACAGAACAAAAGTAACAACGATCATGCAATAAGAGTCCCTGAGTGCTGTAAATGCATAGTTACCAATGGCAAGGTTGGCGGTTTGAGTGTGCCCAGAGGTGCCTGGGTAGAAAGTCACAGCCATCTACTTCTAAAACATCAGCTACTGAATACCCTTCAGATCACAGCTCTACACCGGTAACTGTAGGACCACTAGGCGTCTTGAATTGACAGCAAAGGATTTTATTTTCTTTTTGTTTAGATGATGGCAAAATATAGGGGGAAACCACTGGGAATGTGCAGAAGGATTTTGCACTCTCATTTTCTCACAATGTCTTGAAATTTCCAGGCATCATATTTGGAAAGGTGGAGGGTCCATCATATTTGGAAAGGTGTAGGGTCCGTGCAAGAAAGGAAGACCCTCAATGAGATGGATTGACACAGTAACTATATCAATGATCTTTCCAATTTTTTACAATCGACGCAGTGACTGGGGTAATGGGGGTAGGTGTGTCAGAGACAATGAGGTTGGATCAAGATAGAGCAGGGTGTAGACCTGTTGTACATAGGGTCACTATGAATTTCAAGTGACTCATGGCACATAACAATAAGAATAACAAAATAACAATAACAACAACACCACTATGCACCAGAGAGCTGGACAATGAATAAATATGACAGAAGAAGAATCGATGCCTTTGACTTGTGCTGGAGAAGAGTATTGCACATACCATGGACCACCAAGAGAACAAACAGGTCTGCCTTGGAGAGGAGGAAACGAAGGTGCTTCTTGGAGGCAAAGGTTTTGAGGCTCAGTCTTACATTCCTTGCACACGTGGCCAGGAGGGACCAGCCCTTGGAGAAAGACATCATGCTTGGAAGGGTGGAGGGACAGCTCAGGAGAGGAAGATCCCAGATGAGATGGATTGATACAGTGACTGGGGCCATGGGGGTCGGTTGGTGTGCTGGAAATAGTGAGACTGGCTCAGGACAGGGCAGGGTTCAGAGCACAAGCAACTCGATGGCACATAACAACAACAACAACAACAACAACAACACGTAGATCTTTTTGAATGGACAAAAATACTGAATGATTAAAAACGACAGTTATATAAAAATTTTTTTTTAAAAAAGGACAGCTATAAGCATGATTTGTTGTAACAGGAACACATCTTCAGCTGAATAGAATTCACATAACTCAGTGCCATCGAGTAGGAGCCGACGCATAGCTGACCCTCCAGCCAGTTTTCAGAGGCTGGAAATCACACAGGAGGAGATTGCTCATCTTTCTCCTGCAGAGTAACTGGTGGATTCGAACCGAGAACCCTTGGGGTGGCAGTGC